TTTCTCATGCCATAGGTTTCTAATGAGATCTTCATATCGTAGGTCACGGTTGATGATTTATTTCTTCTATGTTAATCACCATCGGGGATGCATTTCTAGTACTTATTCCTCGACTTATTCAGTCAGAACGGTTTTCGTGAACTTTGTTCTTGTGGTGAATTGAAATTTCCAAAAAACAGCTTTATTTTTATTGGAACACATGATTGAGTGATAGTCCATTACATTCCGGTGGCAGTCCGTGGCAGTCCGGTGGCAGTCCGTGGCAGTCCGTGGCAGTCCGGTGGCAGTCCGTGGCAGTCCGGTGGCAGTCCGTGGCAGTCCGGTGGCAGTCCGTGACAGTCCGGTGGCAGTCTTGGCAGTCCGAGTATGAATGGCAGTCCGGTGTACACGAATTTGCTCAGTGATTTACCCCTCGGTAGATTCGGCTTGTCAAACATTATCAATTGCAATCTAGGATGGCGAAAAGCGATTCACGGGTGGTACTTCAATATAGGTATGCAACAAAGCAGAGTTTTCGAAGTCTTCAGGTCTTCAGAGCCACCTAGTGGTGAAGGTGTAAAAGTCTTTGACGACGTTGTTAATTAAATAATCCACACTCTTGCGCCACTGAGAAACACCATTCCATTACTCTACAGACTATAGAAACACCTGGAAATTAGAAAATGCTCCAATGTTCAACATGCAAGTGTTGATAAGAGATTTAGAGAAGCAGAGATTTCAAAGAATCAAGAATTTCCCAGGTCAATCCAGGTCAGTCAATGAATCTGGTAAAAATGTCAATAGATGAGCACAATTTCCAGCTAGTGACGACTCATAAATCATTCTGGAAAGCCAATCATACATATTTGTTACTCACTTGTTTGTTTGTTAAATCAACAAAACTATATGGGTAGGAATTCTACTACAAATAATAATTTTCTCTTGTTGTCCTATTTCGGATTACTATACATAATAATATAGTCAGTGGATGTTGGCAACAGTTTATCGACAAAACTTATGGCGAGTTTATACCAGCATACTTCTAATTTCTGTGTCATTCATAATTTCATGTTTGTTTTCGTTTAGTTCATGTCATGCTGCGAAACTGTTTCGGACTGATATTCATCATCACAACGGTAACTTTATTGTTCCTCTGTCCTTGTTTTTGGATTTTCTTGGTCGATTGGGTTCCCTGGAGTTTTTATGTTTTCGAAATTATTGAGCCTTTGGAGTTCTTTGAGTTGTCTGAGATCCGAAACGTCTTATGAAATCTCTGGGTTCTTGAAATTTTTGGAAATATTCTGGTTCATATAGAGGTTTTGAAATTATTTGGTTCTCGAATTCTTGAGGATTTTATGGTATTTCGAATTCCGTGTTCCTTGATATAATTGGTCACTCGATTGGTCATTCCTCCAAACTCATAGGTATTATAAAGAATTCATTGGAGTTCCTCAAAACACACTGAAATTTCTCGAAAAATTTTTGTTTTGTGTGAAGAAACTGATAACGCTTCAAATCTTCTTCGTTTTGTTTTTGTTATTTGGAATTTCCTCAAATTGCATTATAATAATCATACATTCTTGGAATTTGTTCCTCGAAGAGAATCTGAACATACTCTGAGGATGGGAGTGAATGTTAGACCATTGTTTATCAAAATCTGTTCCACTGTATAGAGACTAGAGAGACAAAATTAGGCTTCATTGTCTATAGAGAATTATGTTATTGATAAAGTGAGAGTGGAAAAATAACCTTGAAATAAAGAACAAACACTAGAATTAGGAGAAATCGCTATCATGAGCACAACATTTTAAAATCGATTGAATTTTTTTTCCCGTTCTGGTTCCCATGAAAAGGGATATTTTGTAATGTTCAGAGAACATCGTGAGAACCAAGGGAAATAAGGTAGGAATTGGTGTTCTTCTTGAATTCATGGAGGTTATATGCCTCGGGGAACATCTCCCTTGGCAATGTGTTCCAGACCCTCGCTGTTCGTTGGATGAACGAGTCTTTGGAAAGAGATGTTCTGCAGGTCTCTTAAGTCACCACGAAGGGATGCGAAGCCTCAACTCGACGGAAAAATTGTTGATATTTCAGAAGAGCATCGTCCATGAAAATATCAATAAAATAGAGCCAGATCGCCAACTTTTCTACGGTGTTCCAGAGAAGTGAATGAGTTTGTGAGCGAGGCATCACCCACGAGACAAATTTCCTTTTTTTTAACAGAATCCAACAGTTTCAGGGTATGTTTGGGTGCTGCACTCCAAATATGGGAACAGTATTCCAGGACAGGTCGGATCTGTGCATAATAGATCATGAGCAGCTGACTGGAAGTGAAATAGCTCTTGGCCTGAAACAGGACACCAAGTTTTTGGGATGCACTTTTAGCGATTGATCTCACGTGATTTTTTCAAGCAAGGTTTTTGCTGATAGTAATACCAAGCATCTAAATGGATGGCTTCAAAGGTATGGTTAGTCCTGACAAGCTTATGTAGGGCACAGTGAGATCGGTTTTTCTAGAGAAAAGGCATGCTTGTGTTTTGTTTGCATTGAAATCTTCCAAGTTATTGGATCCCCATTCGAGAATTGTTGCTAAGTCCATATTTATGTTGTCGACATTTCTCCCTCGTTCGTTTCTGATTTGTCTGGCTGGTATCAGAGCCCTGGAAGAGGAGGCCGTATGGAGGGTACTATCATACGCGAAGCTGTGTAATCGTTGATATGGAGTAGAAATAGTGTTGGTGCTAGAATTGATCCTTTCGGAACACCAGCATTTATGATAAGAGAGTCAGATGAGACGAACACAACACTCTCAATAGCTGAATATTTCTATCTAATTACCATATGGATTTTAGCCTTATTATCCATTTTCTCTGAAAATCGTCATTTCAAGAGTTATACCATGTGGTTCTGAGAGTACATAACTAGTGTATATTGAATTGACGTCTCTGGTACCTAGAACATCGGCTGTATATACGTCTCCGTCCCTGATTCGTGCCTACTTATGCCCCGGGGACAACGTTGAATGCCGTATTGAATAATTTAATCGAATGTTCGTATCGCGTTTAAAACAATTGTGAGTGCTCGGCTTGGAACGCTGCTGCCGGTTGAAAATGCGCTCTAGGCTGCCAGGATGGCATTGTAATGGTTCCCTAGTGTTTGCTCCGGACCCGCTCCTCAAGACGACCCATTATGCCCGCCGCCGAGTTCGAGGGCTTTGCTGTTTGAGTTCCGCACTGAATGATTCAACCAAATAGGCCATGTGTTCCTGCGAAGTGGGCCAAGCAAATCCCTAATTTTGTTTGGCAGCTCAAACAGTGGAAGATCGACCCTCCGTGCGACCTAAGATGTTTCAGTCTCGCCGGAAGAGAGATCTTTAGGGGTTGGACGATTGAGAATGAGATACGCGAATCAACATACAGTGTGTCTCACTTATATTGGGAACAACCGCGGTCAAAATTGTGTAGATCAAACTTCAATTTCACAAGGAGATTCAAGGAATTTCAAGGAATTCCAGTTGTTTGTACACCAGAATTATTCCTCACTTTTCACGAGGAATTCCAAGAAAATACAAGAAATTCCAGGGAATTCCAAGGAAATCCAAAGGAATCCAAGGAATTTTATGGAATTTCAAGAAATTCCGAAGAAATCCAAGAAAATCCAAGCAATTTCAAGAAAATCCAAGGAATTTCAAAGAATTCCAGTTGTTTGTACACCAGAATTACACCGCACTTCACTGAAAGAATTCCAAGGGAATCCAAATAATTCCAAGGAAATTAATAATGATAATAATAGTAATATGAGTATTATGATCGACAAGAAATTTTGTGTACAATTTGTCAAGTTTACTGATAAAATAAATACAATACAAGATTAAAATCTCAAATACTCTCAAATAATATGAGTTTTAACCTCGGTTTTAACAAACATTTTGATAAAATACATCACATTTACATAAAAAAAATTGAAATGAGTTCATGAAACAGTCAAAGAACTCACTAAATGAGTATAACATATGTTCAGGAGGAGAGCTTTTAGAAAATCTAAGGAATTCCAAGGAAATCCAAGGAATTCCAAGGAAATCCAAGGAAATCCAAGGAATTCCAAGGAATTCCAAGGAAATCCAAGGAATTTCAAGGAAATCCAAGGAATTTCGAAAAAATCCAAGGAATTCCAAGGAATTCCAAGGAATTCCAAGGAATTCCAAGGAATTCCTAGGAAATCCAGGGAATTCCAACGAATTCCAGTTGTTTGTACATCAGAATTCAACCGCCGTTTAGCCCTCGGAATCACCCCTGTATCTAACGTTTTCGTTGGGTAGGAATCCTGAAATTTATTGGAGCGGGAGATTTACCAAAAATGCATTCTATGACCAAGTGGAGTCATCTTCAGTGATATACACTGCTCGCCAACAGCCATGGGACCACCCCGATTACCGGAAAATTATATTAGGAGTTGAAATAGGTTGAAAATCACTTCGGATTCCGAATCAGGACGCCCAATTCGCTTCATATTTTTCATAGGGAATTTTCAGTTCTGAAAATCTACTTTGTGTCTCACTTTTCATTCAAACACCCCCTCTATCGAAAAGATTATCAGGAGTTAGTTAGTTCCAAGTCAAGTGCCATCAATACTATTCATTTTTTATCTCATCAGCGTTTGAAAAATGAATTTATTTCGCAAACTTATTTGATGTTCGAAATTATTATACCTCAGGACAATATTCACAGTTTAGTTACATATTTCTGATGAATCGAATTCAACAAATCCATCTTTATCAATTTCGATCATGTTCAAATGAAGCTATTTATTTAATTGATGTTCCTAAGAAGTTTCAAATTCATCATTTCTGATGATTGTTTGAATTGTTTCATTAGGGGGTTCCTCGGAAGAAATATTTTTCATCAAATCCACGTCGCATCTTTTGTTAACTGTTATTTGTTTTAGGATATGTTATTCCGAGTTTTCGTGAAGTCACAGTATCACGTGTAACAATACGAATAACGCGAAACTTTTTTCCATACTTGGGAGAACCCCGACAACAGCATCACCCCATCCTGATTTATCTCCCGACGCTTCCGAAAATGTTCGAAAACTAAAGTTTCCATACGAATCCGCACCAGGCGCAAATTCTGGACTTCGAATGTGGCTGGAACGTTGCCAAACGTTCCAGGCACGTCTCCGGTCATCTGTAATGTCCCGACGTCCTCTTTATTAGCCATAACAAGCCTTTCCAGGAACCGAATGCATTCCAGATGCGGACTCTCGATCCTCCACTGATGATTTTCTATTTTCCTGCGATGGGAAATGGTCGCAATGTATCTCATCAACGATCAGACCGAGTCTGTAATTTCCATTCCCTAACTGTTTCTGCCTGCATCTGCCGCGAATGGAGGACATGCAATTTTCATGAGGCATCAGAAACTTCCATCACAGTGAAACATTTTTGAATGTATGTACTTCCAATGGACTGATGGATTTAATAGCCAACTGCGATTGAAGAATCATTTGATGTTGATTAAAATATAGATGAAGAAGTGTAGAGTGATGTCAAGCTCCACATTTTTAGTGAGGAATCGTACAACTTCATCCCAAATAAACTATAAAGGAACTGGGCTCGGAACTGAGGCCTGAAAAAAATTAGCTGCGCTTTTGCTCTTGGATTATTCCAAGGGTTTTGAATCATAATGTGCTCCTAAGTGAATTGAAATTTTATGGGTTTTCAGGTTAAGCTTTAGAATTATCAAAAAATCAAGTCACCAACCGTAGTCAAAAAGTTTTCGTTAATAACAGAATGTCTGATCAGCTTACCTTGAAGGCTGGTGTTCCACAAGGATCTGTATTGGGTCTACTATGATTTATTTTATATAAAGGGAAAATATTTTTCTCACAAATTTGTCAGGCATTAGTTTGATACTTCCCAGTGACAACTGGTGACGTTGGCAAACAAATGAGTCACAGGATGTATTCATTAATTGATCTCGAACTTACCATTTTCATGTTCAGATTTTAGTAGTGTCCATATAGATGAAAACCCCAAAGTCATCTCAACAACTTTTATTAGAATGATCGAAGATCAATGTCGAAGGAACATGTTTCGAGCTCATATAAGCCCATCATCGGCTAATAGAAAATATCATAGTTCTAGAAAAATCAGTGTTGACTTAGGATATAGTTGCAAGAATTACTTAGTACTTTCATGGGAATAAAAAAAGTAGGCATACAAATACACACACTGGCACAATTAGGGGAACGGGTGAAATTTACACTAAGTTTGACATCAATTTTCTCTCGAACCGATCACTCGATTCAAATTTGTTTTTCACGAATTGTAGCTTCATTCTCCATGAATACATCTGAGAAATAACCACCTCCAAACGATTCGTCTTTATATCATATACAGGGGTGTAAAGAAGTAAAGAAAGTACGGATTTTTCGGTATTCTTTAAGACATCCTGTGGAGTGAACCACTGATAATTGAAAAGATTTTCCAAAACCAAATTATAGCCCAATCTATCCTGAATATTTTCGTTTTTTATTTATCTTGATATCCCCATTATCCAAGAAAATATAGAGTTTCAAAGAAGAGGTGGATATTGCTACTAATTTTACCACCTCGAAACTCGAACTGGGGAGAACGTGTCGTTTTTCAACTTGTTTCTGTGAGGATTTTTACTTCAAGATGAGAATTGTTCACAGTTTTACCTATCGGTTCACTGTTTAAAGACACATATACGAATACTCTCATGAATATGCAGGGTTGATAAAAGTTGCTCCAATGTTCTTTTGGTGAAATGCTATTTTTGTTAATAAACGTTGGCTATTTTGTTAATGTCATTAATTATTGTCAAAGTCAAGCAATTCACAATTCATAAATTTGATCAATGAAAATTCAACGTGAGAGATTTGACTCCTACTGATGTGGCGAGGGCTGTAGCATTAATTGAAAATGACCAGTGGGCCAATGTTCTTTTAACATATGAGAGCCGCATCTGCACCAATTCAATAGATGGCAGGGAAAGACTATATCGCTGAGGTGAACAAAATGAACAATTTGATTTTACTGCTTCTGTCTCCTATGGCAGAGGTTCAGTCATGGTTAGGTTAGATTAGTCAAGAATCGACACATTTTCAGATCCAATTTGAGTTTTTGAGGTGTAAAATTGATACCAATATCCACCTTTCCTTCGAAACTCTGTATTTTCTTGAATAATTGAGATATCAAGATGGATAAAAAACGAAAATATTCGGAATAGATTGGGCTCCAATTTGGTGTTGGGAAATCGTTTCAATTATCAGTGTTTCAGTCCACAGGATGTCTAAAAAAATACCGAAAAATCCGTACTTTCTTTACACCCCTGTATATGATGGAAAAACTCATCGTTACTCATCATTATTTCTCAGATGTATTCTTAAAGAATGAAGCTACATTTCGTGAAGAAAAAAATTTGAATCGAGCGATCGGTTCGAAAGAAAATTGATGTCAAACTTAGTGTAAATTTTGCCCGTTCCCCTAATTGTGCCAGTGTGTGTAGTATAGTTAATAACAGTGCAAACAAGGAAATATGCTCCATGATTTAGAATATTGAGAGAAAAAGTGAATAAACCTGCAAAACTTATATATCAAAAGAACAGGAAGCAATGCTATTGTCGCACTACGCACGTATATTGAAATACTATTTATTTTCGCATTTTACAGAAACGATGAGAGAAAATCTCAAAAAATCTGTTATGATGAATATACCACCCCTTCGATTAACCTACACCGAGACCTACACAAATAATTCGTTTAGGTAGTTTTCTCGATTGCATTTATCAATTTGTCTCATCTATCATTCACCTACAGGATGTAAAATAAAACAGTAGATACGCCACTGATCATTATAGATTTATCAGGCATGTATAGTCGCTTCGCTGATTTTGTATGGGCATCACGGACTGTTATCAATTGCTTCCTGAGGGTAGGTCGAGCTATGAGGCATTATTTCGAAATGAGAGGATTATTTACATTGTTTTGGCCGTGAGTGGAAGACACAATACGCATGCGGGAACACTCACAAGGGATGGTAGCAGAAATTTCGAAGCAACCAGATATGTACAGCCGAGTGTACAGCTCTGCTCAATAAACTGGGACGGAGTGATGTGAAAACCGTGTTGAAATTTCATTTGATGCCCACTGACTAATATTCATTTAACCGTACATGGCATTGCATTTTCGTGCGCTTGATATTCTACAGGGTGAATTATGTTCCTAATGCATCCCTTGATGCTTCCTATCCAAGATACATGGTTATATATCCTCACGAAAAATTACGACGCGTCTGAACTGCCATCCTTGAAAAACTTTTTTTTTCAGCAATATTTGCCTAATCTACAGTTGCAACTGTAAATTAGGCGATATTTTGAAAAAAAAAGTTTCTTCTGCCTAATTTACAGTTGCAACTATAAATTAGTGCTAATTTATAGTTGCAACTGTAAATTAGGCAAATATTCGTGAAAAAAGAATTTTCAAGAATGGCAGTTCAGACGCGTCGTAAAAAATAAGAATCAAGAACTTGTTATATTCATAAAACTAGACAGCCTCAGCGAGCTTGCATTTTAGGGCATACAATGGAAAGGATGTTTTTGGATCTCATTTTCTAACTCTCTTTTCTGGTGCACACTAAAGAAAATCCCAATAATCGTGGTCGAATTTCATTCATAGGTTTTGTTACTGGAACACACCGATCAATATTCAAAACCTCAGATTGCGAAATTTTGAATAATTTGATTGATCAATCATACACGAGGAGGGTATCAAAATTACCCTGTATATATCCTTTCTAAGATCATACATCTATATCATCGATGCATTGCCTCAAGCTCGAGCTCAAGCTGCACTGGGAAAACTTACAACTATTGTCGGGTCTAATTAACTTTACTTGTTTGTTGTTTTGTTTGTAAATCCGTTGAGAAACTATAAATACACGGGCTCACCAGACAAGAATACACAAATCAGCTTTCAACAGTATAGTGGTTACAAAATAGAAAAACATGGCGTCCCACTTGAAAAACACAATGAATCATTGCTTCATTTTCTATACAGTGTGGTTCAATTTCAATTGATCATTTCACGATTATTATTGATCATTTACTCACCTTAGTAGTTTGGGAATATCGAGGGGAATATAGTAGGATGAGAATAATTATCGAGTGATTATTATGCTTCGCAGACATCTCGGCACCCTCAATGTGGTTCGAGTTCCACTTTAAGCTGTAGGTCCCGCCCTTCCTAACCTCGCTAAATTTTCGGCTTCTGAGGATTTGATTGCCAACCAAGTAGACAATTACGAAAATCACAAATCCACTTAGAAAATAAAATTGAATTTTGTGCTAATAAGCAATATTTGGTCTTCACTTCACTTTTCCACTACATAGTCAGTTGATATTTTTTTCTGGGAAGCTGATGATTCCAGAACCATACCTGATTCTGCACTGAAGTTATTTTGGCTATATAGACAAAATCTTTATACTCATTGAGACAAATAGAAACTTTTCCATGTGAAATCAGGTCTGTGTAATGTCTACTGTATTTCGGTAATATGGAATATGAAATATAACAACAACTAATTTCCACTTTCGAAAGTTTGCATAGATGTATGAAGTTGAATATTCCATCAACTTCACTGATGTAATGAATATAAACTATAAATATATCATATTATCTAATGTAAAATTCTTTTGTCCCAGCCACGGTGTTAGTGGCCAAACTCCTCCGAAAAGGCTCGATCGATTCGTATGAAAATTTTTGTGACTATTCGGTTCAAGATGGCGGATCCAATATGACGGACGATCTTTTTAATTATGAATCGATTCTATTCAGAATTGGAATCTGGAGATTTTCGTCAGAATTTGGAAATTCAAGATGGCGGATTCAATATGGCAAACGAGTTTTGTAATCATGTTCAGATTTCATTCAAAATTCGTATCTGGGGGTTTTTGGGGTCAGAGATTATGATTCTTCCGTCTAAATTTCGAAATTCAAGATGGCGAATCCAATAGGACAGATGACTTTTGTATAATGATCATGATCAGATTCTATCAAAATTGGTAACTGGGGTTTTCCAGGTCGGAGATTATGATTCCTTCATCAAAATTAGGAAATTCAAAATGACGGATCTAATATGGAGGACGAGTTTTTTAATCATGATCAGATTTTATTCAGAATTGGTATCTGGGGGTTTTTGGAGTCGGAGATAATGATTCTCTCATAAAAATTTGGAAATCCAAGATGGCAGATCCAATATGGCGGACTAGTTTTGTAACTATGATCCGATTCCATTCAAAA